GATAGCCAGCTCTGCTAGAGGAAGTCATTCATGCCAGTCATCCTGTTGAAAGCTAATGTACTTGTGTAGATAGATATTCAGAGTCTGATTCATTCACTCTGTAGCTCTGTCAGTCTCTAAGTGATAGACTGTGAAGAGTTATCTCTTAATGCCTAATTTCTCACACACTCAAGTTCAAAACATGCTTGTGAAAGCCAACTCTCAATCTGATACTATCATCTTATGAATGTCATGTTGAGGAATAATGTTGTGAAGAAACACTCTAGCCACTATCTCTGCATCAGTTTTCTTAACTACTTTTAATATAATCTCTTTGATCAGTCTGTCTATTGTAATCATGATATTTGTATTTTCTTTAGAGCTTGATAAGTTCATGATAAAGTCCATAGAAAGCTCCTGTCATATGTGTTCAGGAATGAGAAGAGACTTAAGCAGTTCCTGATGTTGATCTCTTTATGCAGTGTTTGATCTGCAAAGATGACAGTTCCTAGTCATTCTTCTCACATAAGTGGCATAGTCTAGCCAGTAGAACTCACATCATAGAACTCCTGCTGTTTGCTCTCACCCAGGATGATCAGTAAGAGATGAGTCATGAGCCTCATGCACTAACCTGGTTCAAAGAGATTTGAAGTCTGGCACTCACTTTCAATCTTGAAATAGAAGCTTCTCATTCTCATTTAAAGAGCACTCAGAGACAGAGGCCTTAATGCTGATTTCAGAAGAAAATCTGAATCTTCTCTCATAAAAAATTTGCTTCAGACACTGCAGAATCTTATCATTTTTGTGAGTCTCATTTCACTGAGCTTGAAGAGACATCTCAGGTTTCACACTGGCAGTGGCCACTATTGATTCCATTTCAGGTGTCAGTATGTTAAACTTAAATAGTTGAGCTTGTCTCTGCTTGATTCTCTCATCATCAGCATCCTCTGACATGTTTTGCTCTCTTCACAATAGAATGTCTGGTTCAGTATTCAACTTCTCTAGCTGGTAATTAATTCTGAAGTTGAATCAATAGAGAATATTCATTCAACATAGCTGTTTTTCATTTAGTCTGTGTGTAATCATGAAGTATTCTAGATTCTTATGATCTGTGAGAATCTTGAATTTCTTTATACTTTGTAGCTCAGCATTCTATTTCTTTAAACATTCAATTATCATCAATAACTCTTTATCATGAATCTTGTAGTTGCATTCCGCAGGTGAATGCTTGTAAGAGAAGAAGGCACATAAGCATAGAATGCTCTGCTCATCATATTATAGCAGCACTCCTTCTGAGATGTAATCTGAGAAGTTCATTTTCAATATAGTCTCACAGTCAGGGTTGAATTGAAGCAGAATCAGAGCAGAGATAAACATTGATTTTAGACACTTAAAAGCTTTCTCAGCCTTACTCATTCACAAAAAAGAAATATTCTTATGTATAAGAATTGTTAGTGGGATTGTGATCTTTGAGAAATCTCTGATAAATCATCTATAGAAATTGGCAAAGTTTAAAAATCCTCATACATCTTTAAGAGTAGTAGATGTTACTCATTCCAAAACAGCTTTAATCATCTCTGGATCCATTTGTATACCCTTGCTTGCTTCAATGATGAATTCAAGATATTTTGTGCTGTTCATCTTGAACTCACTCTTTTTGATATCTGCCTGCAGGCCTGCTTCCTGTAGATGCATAAACATCTTTTTGTACATGCTTGTGATGCTTCTGTAAGCTTCTTGAGGAAAATATCAAGATGTCATCTAAATAGACTGAGCAGAAGTCATCCAAATATCCACATAATGTCCAGTTGATATATTTTTAAAATATGCTTGGAGCATTGGCCAAACCAAAGGGTGTAACCAGCCACTCAAATAGCCTGTATCTGATTCTAAAGGCTGTCATCCACTCATCATCTTTCATGATTCAAATCTTGTGAAAAGCTGTAATAATGTCCAGCTTAGTGAATCATTTAGTCTGTTCAATTCACTGTAGAGTCTCATTGATTAATGATAGAGAATATTAATTCTTTTAAGTAATTTTGTTAAGAGCTTAATAGTTCACACAGAATCTTATCCCACTCACAGGCTTCTTTGCAAATAGTATAGGAGTGGCTGCAGAAGAGTTGCTCACTCTAATAAAACCCTTATTTAGATAATCTGTAAAAGTCTTTCACAAAGTCAGTAGTTCCTCTCAAGACATATTATATAATGAGCTCCAAGGGGGTTGTTCTGCACTATCATCAGTCTTTTTAATCAGTTCAATCCCATGATCTCTATCTGAGTCATGAAGTGAGGGTAGGACATCAGCAGCTTCCTTATCAAATATGTTCAAAAACTCATAATAATGTTCAGACAGCTTTTCTCTAAGGTCAATCTTTGATTTCACTTCTAGAGTCTTTTGAATGTTAGTCAAACTGACAGTGAAAATCTCAATGTTTCACTTCTCTCAAGTGCTTGCAAGCCTAGAGAAGCTTACAGCAGAGATAGAAATCACATCAGCTTTTGCATTTGAACTAGACTCTATCTCTATGCCACTCTCTTTAAATCTCACAATTCTTTGATAAGAGATCATGGTCACCTTTTGCTGGGCCAGCCAAGGGTCATCTAGATACATATCATGACCATGTAATCCATTCACTATGTAGAGAAAGGCTCATTCAGTTATGTGATCATCTATATCAATTCAAATGCCAGTCACTATGCTTGTAGAGAGTCTCATAGAGTTTTTAAAACCAGTCATTTTAACAGGAGGAATTTCAATGCATAGGAGCTTATGCTTGCTAACATAAAATTGAGAAATAAGACCATAGACATTACATTCACTGTTTATTATTGCTCTAGTTGAAAAGGTATTATCTACTAGAGCATCAACAGTGAAGGGTTTGAATATCATCTTAGATTTAAATCTTCTCCATTGCTTTCTCATAAGCTTCTTATTTTACTTCTTTCAGTGTCTTTTGGTTAAAGCTACTCTTTTCTCAAATTCTCACTCATATTCACATCATCATTGTCCAGTACCAGCTCAGAGATCATCTTAGCTATCATGAGAGTGGCAGAGTATCTGAAAGATTTGAATGAGCAGCTCTTAATCATATGATCTCCAGCTTTACATCTCAGGTACAGGTCTTGCTCTCTTTGTCAATTAACCTCTGTCTGATTTATCAATTTAATGTGACAGATGCTTGAGGTCCCATCATTAGAAGAGAGATTCATCAGATCATTAGCAGAAGCTTGAGATCAGTTTTATCAGTCAAAAACAGCATGACAAAGTAGAGAGTGTGAATTAGACATCATATGATCTGAAGAAGATCTGCTCTCATAATGTTTAGATCACTATCTTAAAGTCTTAAGCTCAGAGAGTTTATGATCAACTAATCTAAGCTTCTTGCAGTAATTCTCATAGAGAGACAGTTCTCTTACACTCATCATGTCTTCCCTCAGCTCCATGCTTAGAGTGAATTTCAAATACCTCTTTTTAATGTGATCATCTCATTCATGATCATCAGCTTTCAGCAGTAGCTGATTAAATTTGAGCAGAAAGTCAAAGAGAGCTCTTCTACTCTGTCATAGATTATTGAGCTTTTGCATAGCCTTTTCCTGTTATGCAGAATCACTAAAGAGCATGTGTGTCTGCTTCAGTAAGCTCTCTATCATGAAGTTGATTTTGTTCTTATTATTCTCAACTCAGAGATAAACTTGAGCTACTATCATTTCTTTCAGTCTCAAGTATACATATCAAACACATTCCTCATTATTATCCAAAGCTTTTCCATTGATCTTAAGTTTTGATTGAAGCTTTAGCTCTCACTGAGAGTAGTGCTTCAGATTAGAATCATCATACTTCTTGTAGTTCAGTAGCTTGGTCTTTGATCTTCTGACTGCAATGAATGATTGCAGATTTAATTGAGAGAGAATTGATGTCAGAGTGTTCAAAGCTTGTTATAGATTAGCTATTTCAGCTTGCTGAGCTATTATTAAATCTCTGTTCTCACACTGGACCTGTTCCTGCTGTTGAAGAAAGGTCATTCATTGTTATTCAAAGCTGCTGAGAGCATCCCTGCTCATTGCTTTGTGTTGATTCATTTATGTATTTGTTGTACAAGTCTGCTGCTTTATCTCATTCAGCTAGACATTTTCAATGTTGCTCATTCATTTGTTAGCATGATTGCTAACTCAGTCTATTCATATATCAGTGCTATCACTGAACTTTATGATGCAGGATTTAAGGCTCTCAATAGTCTATCATATGTCAGCACATTTGCTGAGCTTCATGATACAGAATTAAGGCTCCTAGTGACCTATCAATGAAAGGAGTGAAGCAATTTGTAATGTAAAGGATTAAGCTCTAAGAACTAGAGACTAGTCCTCCTATATAACAAGGACAAATTGCTTGAGAAAGGGAAGAAAAGAATGAGATGAGAACTTGAGCTTAAGCAAGCTCACATAGCATGATCACATGCGCATGTGCAAACAATGACTAGGCTGAGTCAGCCAGCCAGAGCAAATCTAGGGGTTCAACCCCTTATAGGTTAATGCTTATCAAGTGGTGGAATAGTTTTAGAGCGAGTCAATATACGCGGAATCACGTGAGGTGCAGTCACTCGGGGCAACGGCCAGCTACGCCGAGCTCCAACAAGTAGCTAACCTCCGCCTCCCGGATAGGAGGATCTCCTTAGAGGAACAGTTAAGACTAGCTGGCAAAAAGGCCCAATCGCCCAATCCTGGATTCAGGGTGAGTACAATTCCTTAGGGGTACTTTGATATCCCTAACTGATAAGTACGCGATATTTGTCATCAAATTTATGCACGCCTGTGGCAAACGGCTAATCTGTGTTAGGCCCAACAGATATTTACCAATGTCATCTTTGTTTCTCTTGTGGTCTACGGCGTAGGCACATCACCTCTTCGGATTGAACATTTGGTCCATGTCTTTTACAGATACCAGCTAAGAGAGTGCTCTCTGCGCAAACCATGAATGATTTGGATGTGTGGCTGTGGAATGTGTCATCAACATCACTGAAATGCCTTACAATATTGCGTGAGCTCCGACATCCTCTCTTTATTTTCCTAATCATAAAAAAACCCTTCCCCTTAGCCAAATCTTCAATTCTATTATAGCTGACAATAAAACAGTATGATCAGTGATTTCTTCTTTCCCCAACCTGGTACGTTAACTGCTTAAATCTAACCCTGAAGCCCTTAGTCCCCAGTTAACAACGCTCAGGGGGAGTGGAAAGTCACATATATCAACTCTCGTCAGTCAGTAAATCACTGTGAAACAGGAAACTAAAGAATCACCCGAGGCTTTGCCTAGGTCCTAACTTGCGCCTTTAGAAATTAATAGACAGAGGCCACAAAGTCATCATTGTCACTCATGCCTACAAAGGCCGGACCGGGGTACGATACCTTACCAATGGACTCAAAGTCTATCATGTCCCTTTCTTCGTTATCTACCGCGAATCCACCATGCCTACTGTCTTCTCCTTTTTTCCAATCTTTCGCAATATCATAATACGCGAACAAATCGAAATCGTCCACGGACATCAGAGTCTGAGCAGTTTTTGCCATGAGGCTATTCTTCATGGGCGAACTATGGGCCTGCGTACGGTGTTTACTGACCATTCGTTGTTCGGCTTCGCCGACGCTGGTTCTATTCTCACAAACAAACTTTTAAAATTTACATTGAGCGATGTTGACCATGTCATTTGCGTAAGCCATACTTGGTAAACAGAAGCCTTCTTTGTGATCCCAACCACAAATTCTTAATACTAATGACGCCTATATAGCAAGGAGAATACAGTCCTTCGTGCTTCACTCGACCCATTGATGGTATCTGTGATTCCTAATGCTGTAGTAGCGGAAAACTTTCGACCTTTATCGTATGCACCTGGCGCAAATGATCAGATGTCCAGGAAGGATTCAGAGGCCGTAGCGGCACCGCGACCTCTAATAGGCCCAGATGATGTTATTACAATTGTTGTTATATCACGCCTCTTTTACAACAAAGGAACGGACCTCTTAATCGCGGCTATACCAAGAATTCTATCGTCTCATCCAAATGTTCGCTTCGTCATTGCTGGTTCGGGGCCCAAGGCGATTGATTTAGAGCAAATGCTGGAACGTAAGGTTCTCCAAGACAAAGTTGAGTTTCTTGGGGCAGTTCGCCATGAGGAAGTTCGTGATGTAATGGTGCGGGGACATATTTATCTGCACCCAAGTTTAACCGAAGCCTTTGGAACAGTAATTGTGGAGGCGGCTAGCTGTGGGCTCTATGTTGTTTCTACTCGTGTTGGGGGAATTCCAGAAGTGTTGCCACAGCACATGACCACGTTTGCTAAACCAGAAGAAGATGACCTCGTTCAAGCTACTGGGAGGGCAATTGCAGCTCTCCGCTCAAACAGAGTACGAACTGACAAGTTCCATGACCAAGTACGTATGATGTACTCGTGGACAGATGTCGCTCGGCGAACTGAACGCGTCTATAATGGAATTTGTGGAGCAATCAGTGAACAGGAGTTTTACGGCTACTTTCCAGGACAAGGTTGGACCGCTACGAGGGGTCGAATACACAGCTTCGCTCTTATCGATCGATTGAAGAGATACTATGGTTGCGGTATATGGGCAGGGAAATTGTTCTGCCTTTGTGTTGTCATAGATTTCCTGCTATATGTGTTCCTAGAAATATGGTTCCCTCGAAGTAACATCGATATTGCGAGAAGTTGGCCAAGGAAACCAGCAGTCGGAAGTACATATGACCCCCGTGATATCGACTCATCCTCCATCCGTCGAGGCTCCAGGCGCCGCAGGAGTCGACCAAATGGGATATATTAATTGTGTCAGCAGAGTAACACTGGAAAAGAATGTTACAGATGTCGTGTTTATCTAGGTGTCCACTTGATTCACAGATTAGGTTGTGACAACTAAACGCGGTGAAGTAATTCGCCTGCCATTTATCAGGTAATGGGTATTTTGTGGCATTACTGATGTAAATGTATCGATTCCAACGCCGCACTCTGTAATGTTCGCTGTCAGCTTGTTCACTAATAGCCCTATACCCGCTCTGAACACATGGATACGTTAAACACACGGCCTACAAAGCTAGTGGCTACGGTATATTCCGAAAATATGACCTTGGGAGCCCCAGAGCATCAGGCTAAGGAAATTGCAAGTTCCAGGGCTTCTTACGCTCTTATTTATAGCCTAAAGAGAACGCCGTCAATAGATGAAAGTTATACGGCATTTATGTACCGTACATACGTAGCAAAAGCCTCCAGCAGAAGGTGGAGTGATATGTCTAAGAGTCAAGAGAGGATCTTACGATAACGGTGCAAAAAAGGTAGAATCTAATCGCCAACGCCACACTGGAAAGAAATGGACCGAAAGAAATACAAGATCACGACCTAAAACAGGGGCGTATAGATACTCCTGATAGTAAATAAATCACAGGCCAAACCTCACAACCATCTCATTTCACCTCATAACAGGAGGTCTCCCTTCTTTATTCCACTTCACCCGGCTGCGGACCCATTCCACTGCTTCCCTCACTCCACTACCCATTAGCGCACTGACTGGTAGAACCCGACTGTCTCTCACGCCAGCACCCTCCTCGCCTTCAAACACTTTCCTTACAAACCCCTCCTTAATGCGCACCACCTCGACGCAATCTTCTCTGTCCTGTTTATTTGCCAGTATAAGGATTGGCACTCCTACTGTCTCCGCATTTTGCAATACTGACTCCAGAACCTCCCGACACTCATCCAGTCTCCCAAATTCGCTCCGGGGATCTATAGCGCTCATAGCCTCTGTAATTGCGCCGGAAGGCCCTTTACCACTGAAAGACGCGTTGGGCCCCTTGTCCCCCGTGGGACCTAGTCGCGAAACGTCTGCGTCTTCGCCGACGTCTGCGCTATCAACAACGAAAATAATAGCATGGCAACTTGAATAATAACTTTGCCAGAGGCCACGCATGGATATCTGCCCACCTATATCCCATATCTTCAAATACATGTCTGGGAGTGATATTGTTGCGACATTTTGACCCACAGTCGGGGCAGTTTTGCCCAGGGGTTGCGGGATGGTTGTATTGGAGGCGGTGGGGAGGAAGAGGGCCTTTATCTGGTTTAATAGCGTAGTTTTGCCCGCATTATCTAGCCCAAGGAGTAGGACAGAGTATTCTATACCGTTATTGTCAAGATTACAATTGACGAGTTAGCTGACAGACCAAAGTGTATAATGGCAAATGAGAGCAAATGTTAATTGCGCAGCAGTTGAAGGCAGCAACGACTGTATATAACTCGGCCGCACATACCCTCTTTCCTCGTAGCATAGAGATAAATTGATTTTACTAAATGGTACATGGTCTCCTTTCAGTTCCGTATGCTAACAAAACGTGAGCACAGCCGCATTGCCGTTATTAAATCGTAATGAAAGGTGCGAGCTTTCGAGCTCCCGTTTCCAGCCCACTCCGCTTTCCGACGTTACTGGTATGGTGGGTGGGGGCGGAACAGTAGCAGAATCATGACGTTTAAAAAGGTAATAATTACAACCAAACGAGTGGGGTTGTATCTCTTAGGTAGAAGGTATGGAATAGCTCCAGATTGAAACCCTAAACTGATTATATTGACACTGAACGAAGTGTCCTTTTGCGCAAAGAAATTAGAATAAGTGATAGTTTGAATGGGATCTATCTAGGGATGGAAGCTGGCGCCTGGATATGTCTTAAGATCATGTGACACTGGGATTGCAGTCACGTGTCATAATAACCCTAGGTACCTCTGAGGCTGGTAGGCATGTAACTTGGAGATATCCACGAGATACCCCTAGCTTTAAACAGACAAGATTAAGAATGTGTAGATATCGAATTTCCAGCTCCAACGGGTTCCCAATAAAATGGGTGATTAATAGCGTGTCCTCAGAACTCCTTGCAGCCAGGTATAGTTTGGCGCTCACATGAGAGCACTAAGAAGTTCTGAGATCTAGTCGACAATGGTTAATCCGAGCTAAATCCCTCCCATTCGGACTCCGAATTCGACCCAGAAGCATCATCATTATGTTCCCCAATACTTCGTCCGGAGCTTACGAGTACTGGGACATTAACATTGGAACCATCGCTTCCTTCAGAGCTATCATCCCGAACGAAGCCAGCAACAAAGAATCCCCCAGTACCCTGCTCGTCATTTGGCCAACACCGCAAGCATGCATCCCTTTCCACCTCAGTCAAATGCCAGCTTCCCTGTTCTCCATCGCCCGGTCCGTCAGGTTGTATACCCCGATGTTTCCAATTTCGAAGTCCTTGAACTTGCTCACTTCTTGAAAGTATCCTCCATCCTCGTCGCCTTGCTACTGGTGACTTCAGCACGCGAGAAACAACCACTTCGTTTTCCTGCGCATGTATTGAGCAGGTACTGTACGTAACTCGGGTAGCTGCTGGGAAGTTGAAGGCGTGCTCAATGATCCGCGTTTGGAGGTTAGACAGTTTTAAGAGCCGGTCGTAATCGACATTAATTGGACTTTGATCTTCGGGGTCTCCAAGCGCAAAACAGACTCCATCCATCTGTGCGCGGACCGTACGCTTTCGTTTTTTGCTCCAATAGCTGGGGCCTGACATGGTTGGTAAAGCTAGTCGCGGAACATCATCCCTTCCAACTATCCCACTTCCCGAACAACTGGGATCAAGTAACAGGCCCGTGACGTTGTGGAAACGCTTATCGCAAGGGTTCAGAGCTAGGAAATCTTGACCAGGCAAGATAGACACCAGCTTATCAACACCAGCAACACTTACCATCCGTTGCAGGATATTTGACCGGCTTTGTGAGGCGTCGCATGAGAATATAATTGGCTTCTTCTGAACTAAACCGCCACCGCGGAATTCCGTATCCGAACACATTAATGAAGCCAAGTGAGTTGTCTTGTTACCAGGCGCTGCGCAGCCATCTATTAAATCCCCTTTCCATTGCTCTGGATTGTCCCCAAGGAGCAAATATGCTGGAAAGCATGACGCTTTATCTTGTAGAATAATCCTACCCCTTTTATATGCCGTTGACGATGTCAGTTCTACCCCCTGTGGAACAGCTAAAAGGTCAGGAATATTGGGGTCTCGATAGTATGTTTGAGGCACTGATGGCGACAGCTCCAGAAGTGAAGGAGCAGACTTATAGGAAGCAAAAGTGGTATTCAATTCCTTATCTAGGGTGGTAAGAACTTTGTTTACCCTAACCCATCTGGGAGACACGAGTGACTCCTTTTCCGCCCCGTACTGTCGTTTTTCTTTTGCAATCAGAGCCTTGAGTTCCTCGACTGAGCCACATCGTCGGCGAACGCGGGACTTGACAAATTCGGCCCTTATCCGGGATTTGTGTCTCTCAATTGCTAGGCGTAAGTGATGGTTCGAGGGTGCAACAATGCCTCTCCTCGTTAGAAGCAAATCGTGGACAAGGAGGATAGAAACAATGGGTGTGAGCTAGAAATTTGTTTAGCTGGCCATGAAAAGTGGAGGAGGTTAGCTTCATCCACTTTACTCAAGCAGCTGAGCGGGGTAACAGGCTGACCGACCTTTGGTTCGAGAGGCAAGAAACCGGCATTCTCAACCACTTCTTTCAATAGAATATCCCACTTCGATGCCTCCGTTATCAAAGCGTAAACCTGAGCAGGTGGGGATTTCAGTTTGGAATTGTAGACACGGGATTTAAAGGAGCCACCCTCGCCCGATGTGCCATCGAGGATGGATGCCGCAGCTACGTACAATGACATTGCATCGTATATGTACCAAGGTATGTACGAAGATACAGATATATAGAGATGTCTCTAAAAGATCCTTGCTGTTTGCTCTGTCCAAAGTTGCGGTTGAGATTGAAGGATGAGGTGATGTTTTGCTCTTTTCTCCTTCCTCTTTAGCCCTAATATTGTGATACGCTATTCCCGATGTGAAAAGCCTTAAAATGAGTTCTGTTGCCGCCTCCAGCACGTGGCAGTTTCCCGATTAGGTTTAGCGGTTACTTGTTAGTCAGCAGGCTGTTCATTTAACATTAACTAGTTAGTTAACTAATAACTAGTTAACTAGTTAGTTTAACTATCAGATCTTTCTTATCTCTTTTATCTTTATCTGATCTTCTGGATGAGAATAAACAGAAAGGAGAGGAGAAGTCAGTAACCATGAATATAATTATCGATCTCTATTGAATGTATTTGATGTGTGTTTTATCGATAACGCAACTATACCTTAGCTCGGCAGGCGTTTCGGCTCTCACATCCGTATTTATTTACCTTCAACTCTCCTGTCGCTTCGTATGAGGCAGAATATATAGTCATATCCTTTCCTATACGTCATTCTCTTATCTCAATTTCTCAATTTAAAAACTAAGACACACCTCCCTCACAATGGGCTCACCTTCAAGTTTAACTTCAACCATCCTTTCAAGCTCGCAATTCACCACATCACTCCTCCCACCCCCGGGCCCAATCCTTACCCGACCCAACCCCGCCGATCCCGCCCCTGCCAACAATCCCCCCATATTCAACGATGCCATGAGCGTGCGCACCTCAGTGTTTATAGATGAGCAGCACTGCTCACCAGAGAACGAAATGGATGATGATGACGCGAGAAGTTGGCATTGGGTTCTTTATTCTACGGAATCTGACCGGCGTATTCCTGTTGGCGTCATTCGCTTGATCCCTCCTCCCCATGCTCCGCATGAACTCAGACACGAAGAGATTCTCAACCACGATTGTTCGAAGAAACCCCTTCATGACAATGACCATAATCACAACCATAAGCTGGAAAATCCATACATCAAATTATCAAGAGTCGCGCTGCTGGCGGAGTATCGTGGGGCGGGGCTAGCGCGTGTCCTTGTAAATACTGCTTTGGGCTGGGCTGCGAGACATCACAAGGAACTGCGGGATTGTCAAGGGAAACCGTGGGCTGGTGACGTGTTGGTCCATGCACAGGTAGCCATTGAGAAGATGTATGCACATTTGGGATTTGTGACGGACGCGAGCATGGGAACCTGGGTGGAGGAAGGGATGGACCACGTTGGTATGTGGAGGAAGATAAAGGTGCCATCAGAATAATCAGAATAATGTAGACGATAGATTAATGAATATGATATAATAACTTGGCTAGAATATTTGCAATTGGTATATTCATAAGCGCATACAACCTTTGCTAGTTTTCTTACGAACAAGTGGGCTGATTAGAAAGATGACTCAAAATACAATGTGGTCGAGGGGAATTAGGTATTGCCATCCTGATGGTAAAAAGCATTCGGCCAAGTATGATATATCACATAACATTGATGGATAGCACGATATATTCTTCAAAATAAGTCATGCCGGGGATAATTGCACCTAATAAACAGAAAATATAGAACAAAAATCGCAAAATAAACAAGAAAGGGAAAAGTGAAAAAGGTTGAAGAATAAGATACATGAAAGACGCGGATAACAGTTGATAACAACGATGTACGCTGCACCCATCTATCGGAGCATATAACACTGGTATATAAATAGAAAATAACTCTGACATATCGATAGCAAAGAAGTGGTACTCTTCAGCAGTCCCGAGCATTGTCGTAGATGGAAAGAAAAGATAATGTCCGAAAGAGTGGGATAAAACGACATCAAGAGGATAATTAAACAAAATTTGCAGCGGGGGAATAATGGCGATAAAGGTTGAAAATAAAATAAAAACGAGAACTAAAGTAAAATAAGTGCAGGAGAAATGGCACTCTGAATATAAGGAAGCAAAAAAGATAAAACAGGAAAAAAAAAAAAAAAAAGAACCATTGACGGGACTGAAGTCAGAATGTGCTCCAGCTCCAGTCTCTGGGAACACTGCTCGCAACAAGACCGCCGTCTTGGTTCGCTCCTGGAGACAGAGTGCCGGAGCTGTCAGCTGAAGCAAATTCAGAGCCACTAGCTATCATAGACTTTGCAGATGCTGCATTGGCGTCTTGTGTGTCATCTTCTATATGAGAGATAAGAATTTGTTGTATTTCATTAAGTCGTGCAGTGCGATCTTTATCCCAGCGGCGAAAGGCGTTCCAGCAGAGGTCGCAGGCACGTGAGGGAATGCCATCGGGATGGAAACGAGCATTTTGGTCAAGGAGGACGGTGTGGGGAGTATGCGACGAACAAAAGACATGGCCACAATGCCGGCAATGGTGGCGACGCAGAAAGAGGCCAAAGAAAGATCTGCATGTGGGTGAGTCGCATGTAGGGGATGCTGAATCGGCCTAGATAAGGACAAAGAAAGAACGGGGGATTCTTGGTTAGATTTTTTAATTTGTGGTATTTAAAATCTGCGAAAGACACGGGAGACGACAGATGCGATAAAATTATATGTAATATGTGCTGCTACTGTGCATACCTTCCAATGGTCTCTCGTGGGAGTTCCGGTAACCTCTCCGAGATTCTCGTCCCTCAACCACTCATCCTCAGCACGTTTGCTTACAGAAGTTTTGACGCTTTCGCTTTCGTGGGTTGATCCCCTAGTGGCGGTGCCAGCACTCGTAGTCTCCGAATGACCGTCCAGGCTTACTAAGGACCCATGGACGCTGCGTGGGGGGGTAAGGGGAGATGGCTTGGATGTACGCTCTGTGGGGCGGAGGACGGCGGGAACATATAATGGGGATTTGGGGGGCCGAAGCTGACGGGATTGGAGGTGGAGTTGATGTAGATGGGGGTTGTGCAAGCGTGGAGAGGTGGGGGAATTGTTTGCCGGGGTGACGGAGGTTGAATGGACTGGCGACGGCACTTGAGCGGATGATGAGGTTTTATTGGTGTTCGCTTGGACTTGAGAGGGTAGAGTATTTGACATGGCTAGGAGTACCAAAGGGTTATATAGATTAATTCAATGGGGCTAAAAAACAAAGAATGAGGACCGCAGGTGGATGATGACAATGACGAATAACAAGAGGTAATGAGGTGTGCGGATGGAAATGTGTAAAGCCAATTAATTGCAGTTGGTTGCTTTGATCTGTTGTGTAAATTCCAGAGTGAAAAAAGAGTGGAGAGTGTTGAACGGAAGGGATGAGGTGAATGAGTGAGTCTAAGGCAAGTTATAGAAGGGTGGTTACTTATACATACATACCTATAGGCACCAATTAGGCATATATATAGATAAAGGGTGTTGATTTCTGAAGAATGGTGGGTGGAGAGGCGAAAGGACGAACGATGAAAGGCGGCAGGCAAAAAGGGCGGTAATAGGCGGCAAACGGCAGGCGGAAGGCGGAAGGGAGGGCTAGTAATAACGCATGGAGTAGGTTGATGGCAACGGATTCCATACCTAGGTTCTCTATGTGCTCTTACAGGGTAGCTAATATCTACTAAACAGTTATTAGTTTACTTAGTTTACTTTACTGCAATATTCAGTAACTTCCAATAACTGCATTATTGTTCTGAGCAACCTAAGGTAATGGTAGTTACTCTTTGGGACATACATTACATTCATTGCATTAAAATATATAGGACTCCCACTACAGCATATATCCATACCTCTATAGATGTGATACATGAATATATACAAACATGCACACAATCACACGAGACAGAACTTTACATCTTCTTCGGCGCTACCCACCATCGTTTTAGCCCAAGAATCCCCGGCTCAAATTCCGCGCCCGTTGCCCACTAACAACATGTAGTTTGACGGCAACGAGTACAATTTCCATTCTCCCTGTGCCACTCTCCCCGTCACTAGCCTCCAGCCGCAATTTCCACTGGCCCTTTTGAACCAGCCACTCTCCACGATTGTCCATGCTATCATCTCTCTTACACTTTAATATTGCTTGGCCATCATGCGACCGCAATGGGTCTGAGTTGCTGGACGGGAACAAGGGCGGAGAGGGGCCAGACGTAAACACCAACCCGGTAGCTATCCGCGATTGTGCTACATCGTCGCTTGGTTTACTGTCCACCTCGGAGAATGTCCCGTTGCTTCTATCCGAAAACTCTCCAAGGTTGGTTGGGCAGGGTTTATTGCCAGCTTCGGAACCAACGGGCGCGAATAACGAACCGAGGCCCCACCAGGGGAGGCAGTTCCTGATGGAGAGCAGCCATCGCTGACGAGTTGGACCCCCGTCTGCTGGATATCTTGCAGTTGAATCACGATTTCTGTACTCTGCTGGAGCAGGTTGTAGCTGATGGAATGAGGAATGAGCTTCTGCTCAAGCCCTCGGAGGTGGAAATATCGGCAATCACGTAGCAGTTCTGCACGATGTTCCTCGTTCCGTATATGAATGGGATAACCCTTAAGCAAATGCAGGAGTTCAGCAAACACTTCAGCCGACCGTTGAGCACCATAGGAGGCATGATAGCTGGTGGACGTAGAAGCCCCTGCCGGTCCAATCCGGGCAAAACCTCTCCCGGCGTGGCAAAGAAAGCCTCAAATGTGAGAGAGAAGAAATTGGGCGAATCACCAGGGCTAGAAAAGACGTCCCGCGGAATTTGAAAATTCCGGCCTCCAATTTGGATGAATATCTCAGACTCGAACAATTGGGAGATCAAGCGCGGTACTGTATGCAGGATATTAACGGGTTGGCATCACTCAGGAAGATATGAATTTGCGGTCACGTACAACTATAAAATTGGGCGTCCGCAAACAACCTAACAAAATATAATCCATCTCGTGGTCGCACATGGTAACCTTGGTTCGGAAACGGGATTGTTAGCTGCGCCTTATTAGATGGCTCCTAAACAACTAAACCCGTATATACCTTGAAGATGCTTAAAAATATCTCGGAAATTGGCAGGGTCACGGTCAATATACAATGTTCGTACCGCCGCGCCGGTTTCATGGTGACGTAATTGCCCGTCAAAAAAAATGCGAAAAGTATGAAAGTGCTCTAGGATTTTAGCTTACACAGATCTTCACTATGACTGGATGCTTAGAAATTCTAAACTAACCATCAGAGGATATAGATGCACCTGACAGTTTGAACAGCTCTGAACCTATCTGAATGGGAAACACTTTCTCAGGGGGAGAATACATGTTTTGTTCTTTGTCGATATATTTGGTTGCTTCAAAATTCCTGGAATGTGTGTGGAGGATCCGGGGTCGATGTTCAGACTATGCTTTCCATTCTTTGGACTATTCTCGCTGTGATTCCCTCCTCCATCATTGCCACTTGCACCGTGAGGTTGTGAGTTTGGTGACGAGGACATATGACCAGTTTTTGGGTCCTGAGCTCCACGTGAGGCGAAAGTGAATGCAGGCTTATGAGGTATGCATCCTAATGAATGTGTGTAGAAGCGGTATAAGGTGATGTCCTTCTTGCCAACCGTGGCTCTGATTCTGATTTTCGTTTACTCGCTTGAGTCGGGAATCGAATAATTTCTTACCTACGCTTATAACAGAGGATGCCTGAGATGCCCCCAGGTTGTTCCAGGGTGGAAATTAAAGATATAAAGCCCGTTATTGGAGGTGCAAGTGGGGGGTAAACGTTTTCTGCAATTGCCCCTGTGTCTGATGATGCTCCGGCAAAATCAGGGACCACCTTCTTTTGTTCGTTTATTAATTGTTCCTGGGGTTCATAAATGTGAACTCAGTCGAGAAACAGACTATACGATGGGCAACAATTTAGGTCATCGCGTTCTCAAAATATGAGAAGTTAGAGTAGTCCAGCAGGTGACAAGAGTCTTCCTGTCCACTCAATCCCAATTCACCCTCAGCAATAATTGGTCAGCCAACGCGTGGATTCGAGGATTCGAAGGGCCTGGGGGCGGAGATCGGGAGGTCGCCTCGCCCGCTTTGGGGAAAGAGTCGCAGGAGTTAATCAATTGATATAAGAAATTGCTGACAATACGGGATGGGATGGAACATTTAGAAATGGTCGGTGGAGAAGACTCTTTGTTTAGTTCTCGGGGACAGGCAAGATTGCTGACGAGAATTTGGAACAGAGCCAGGGAGGGTATCTGAGGATTATACGGATATCAATGAAATCCCTAGTCTGGAGTTCTGTCCTTTTCTTTGCTCTAGCCTAGCAGACCACGTGCCAATTACTGGATGGAAGAATTGATAATGATCTTTTACTATTCGTAGAGATTTGTGCTGGAATCACAGGCATCTCTATAAAGCATTATAATTATGACAAGCAGAAAGGACCGTTATATAACTGGACGTAAATATGGAGAGAAACAGGGACAGCCATGTTCAAACTTATCCAGCACCTTTGGTAAAGAAGGACGTATGCGGATACTGAAGAATTATGATACAGAAACAAGGGTACAACAGTTGAGAATTGGCAGAGTGATGTATTCGATGGATGTGTCCCTACTTCTCTCCTCTAACCTTAATCAAGGAGGGGAGTGACTTGGTATTGCTGACTAATCCGCAGAAGATGGCTACGGATCAACCCGTGGGATGCAAGTCCTGTCATCTGTCTATCTATCCACGTATTTTGTACGTACATACAACCGTACATACAACGAGTTTCTCCAAGCATTGTTGTATAGACGAATAGCTATCATCCAGATATAAAGTCCTTCGCGGAAGCTTGCCGCAATGGCTGGCCCTAATCCGAGTCCGCCATAGCCCCCCTCCTCCCCTTCCCACAACGGGTCTTTTCCTTCCTGCACAGACCTTTGTGACCCTTTCCAAGCAAATTACTGACACCCCTTTTCCGTAGATTTGCTCCTTGATCCGGGTTTGCAGAAATATTACGGTTCGCCTCCTTCCCCCTGATAGCTGCCCTGTTTCTTATCCTGGGAAATAATCCTTCACTCTATTCTGTTCCCGAATACTGCCGTCTTGACTTCTCATTCCTAACTTTTTTCTAGAACTGAACATCAACCGATACAAATACTTCCGATGGACTCCACGAACGGCATGGATCTCTTTCTGCTATATGGCTCTCGTGCCTGGTATTTTGGCTTACATCGGGTGCAAAACTGATGTGAGTTGGGACTTTCCTCAATTGGCAATTATAAGTTGTGTTCTGGCCTTGTTTCTACTCGCAGGCGATTTTCCCCCTGCGAGTGGATTGAATAAATAATGATCAGGGTGGTATGCTGATGAACATGTAGGGCAAGTTTGAATTTAGAGGGAAGAGGCGAGGGGACACAATCGTGGAGTGGTAGAGTTTGCCTTGGCTTGCCCTGATAGCCTGGAACGTTGAATAGAAGGTTTCAAAACAAAATCAAAATTTTCGGATGGAAATCAAAGACTACCGATCGATATAGGGATCCTTCTTGTTCTCCCGTTTTGTTAATTGCGGCTATATCGAGCTTGATGGGTGACTAATTTGTATTTGTGTCCTCCGTTTAATCTACAAAATTCCGCAAAAGGTAAATCGTGAGACGGTGCAATTCCAAATGTTTAATACGTTGGTATTCATTGACCCCACCTCTGTAGATACATAAAAGAAAGCTAGAAAAAGAAAACTTGGTTGAATACTCCTTACCAAAACATGAGATAGCCAGAAGTAGTTAAAGAAAATTTATAAGAATTGCTCACCATGGAAAACGAGAGGTACGTACATGTTGCCTTTTCCGCAGAATAGAGATGGCTATTTTGGTTTGAAGAAGCTCCAATCTCAAAAGCCATTTCAATAGGGCCTTGCTCTTCTTGGGTAACCCCGACAGAAACCACGGCCCCCTCCATCAGGAACCCTTTCACCCCTCCTCCACTCACCAGCAGGTACACCTGCTGGGCCCATGTGAGGAAAACCGCCTCCCCTACCCATACTTCCACCTGTTCTTGATCTGCTAAACCCATTTTCTCTTGATGTGGACTGTCCATTGCCAAAAGCTCTCATGCCGCCTCCTATTGCTGAGATTCCTACCACTCCCCTGTTTACAATGGCGGGGGCAATTGAGCCATCAGACAGGGGTGGGAGAATGGCACAATCCACGTAGTCACCAATCACGAAGCGAAAATCTTGTAAACATTTGTCGGCTTCGTCGCCCTGGAGCTTCAGTGGCCCATTTGCTCGACGATCAGTTTCCCGGTTCTCCGCATCATCACTTGGCCCGACAATTACACTACCCATATCCCTACTCAAGAACCTCCCTCGACCGTCTCCGGCAGCAGTCTGGGTTCTGGTATCGGGGTATATGAGGCGAAAGCTGATGCGCGTCCCCACAGCTGGGTCTGGAAGTATTGAAGGGAGACATGAAGTCAAGAGCTGCGCGAGTTCTCTCAGGGAGCAAGAGGGCCAGGTGTATATTTGGAGGTGAGGGAGAGGGAGAGGGGCAGGTGCGAGAGACACGTTTCCGCTCGATGGGGGAGAAGGGATCGGGAAATCTGAAAGGTGGTGGAAGGAATGCTCCCTGTAGAAGAGCTTCAAGTGAAAGGGAGTTGTTGTTTGGCGGTCAATTTTGAGGGGCACGTCAGAGCTGTCGTCCGGCATAGTTGCGAAAGAAAACAGTCATTCGTTGCTACAATGACACAATTAGGGCTTTTTGGGCGAAGATTTGAATGAAAAGAGAGGTTTTATCCCTGAGGTGTATAAGAATATAACACCCGCCTTCCTTGTGGCGGGTATATCAAGGATTGGAGAGAGGGAGTACTAATTGTAATTTATGCCAATTTATCTGGAGTTGTTTGGGAGAGAGCATGGGTCATGTACTCGCAAGACAGCAGCGCCTTTTATCAAGGTATCAATTAATGTCCACTTGGTTAGGTTAGGGTTAGGGTTAACCACACCATACTCAAAAATATCCTGAATTTGTCGGACCCTTCCGTCCCGTGACCCTATTTTCTAGTCGTTAGCAACCTCTGCAATTCGATCAAGCTTGCCATCTATCAGGTTATAAGACCCGTTCTGCGCTCAAACGTGGCCAATTTGGGAGTTATCTTGTCAAAATCGGCGACTGTTTGCTTCGTTTGATCTATTATTTATCTTTTACGTTCCCTATTTGGCGAAGTCCTTGACGCGCCCCCGAATCTATGGCGACACGCGAATAAGGCGAAAGGATATCACCCTAAAGAAGTGAATTTTGACCTGATCCCTCTCTAGAATAGAGAAGTCCTCCTAGAAGCTCCTTCTTTTTTTTTCATCTATATTTTGATCCTTTGATCAATCATATCAATAAGAATGGCTGATTCACTGAGATCACCTCCTATTACCCGTTCGCGATTCTGAATGTGAATAAATTCGGACAAATCAGTTCTCAAATTGATCCTCTACCTCTCAAGAGCTTCCTATCAGATTCTTTGAGAACTCAGCTGTTCATAATATCTCGGTGATCTCAGATCTCAATCTCTCTACAGTGTGACAGCGCTATGACGCGTTGGCTATGGAAACTGGCATTGTCTGAAAAGGGTAATCGCAACTGCCTAAGCAACGGCCTAGCAAACCACGCTACGGAAATTGCCTAGCAACGGCATAGCAACTACCCCATAAACAACTACCTCATAAACAAATACCTAATAGAGACTGCCTAGCAACGGCGTAGCAACTGCTAGTCGAAAGGGGTAACTATATAAGAAGATTTTGTTGGGCGTGTGTTGCCCGGGCGGCCGCCCCGCCGCATGTGATATAGTGTATATTAGATAGCTAGCTAGGCCTCCCAATATGAGAGATTCAACCATCTCACAGGTTATAGTCTGAACAGCATGTTTTTGCATAAAAACACATTTTTATTCAAGATTTCATTGTGTTAAAGACAATTGAATGAGTTCAACTAGATTTTCTTTAAAAATACTCTTTTTACATTAAAAATCAGAAGATTTTAAAAAGATACTATATAAAAAAGTAGTTACATTTATGAAGAAATTAAAATATAATATTATTTTTTTTCTTATTTATTTTTTTTCTTAGATTTTGATCTGAGAATATTCAAATCTTATGAATAAATAAGTAGATTACTTTCTACTTTTTAATTAAAATAAAAGAAATTTTTATATTTTTATTTAAAAACTATAGAAGTATTTTCTATACTTTATAAAAAAAAAAGAATATGATACTCAATTCTGCAAATGAAGAAAAAACTGAATATATATTGATAAAAAAAGTAATAAAAAAAGTTAACTCAAATTATAATATAGAAAAAAGATCTATATATGATAAATTATCAAAGAATGATAAAATTTTTAGTCTGAATTTTGACTCTATTTCAATTTCTACTTTCAATGTCAATAACATAATTATAATCACTGCAGTTGATCTATTTATATTTTGTCAACAAATGATAACTATATAAAAGAATATTTATATAAGTAAAATCATCTCTATATATACTTTAAAATAAAAGATATGTGAATATTATAAAAGAGTGCAAGCTTCAATAAATATAAAAATTATAATAATATTTAATAAAATCAACTATCAGATTTAAAGAATTAATATTTTGATAAATAAATCTTATGTATTTTATTCTGATTATAGATTAATTTCAAACTAGTCAACATAGCAGAAAACTCAATTTCATGCAGTATATTAAGTAAATTCTGATCAAAGTGTTAGAAAATAGATTCAAACTCTTTAAATTAAATAGAAATGAGATTAATTATATTTTTTACCATTATTTAATTTTTCAAGTTTTCAAGAAGACTAGCTTTTTGCTAATATAAAAGGCTGAACCTCTAGATTCACTCTGGCTAGCTGACTCAGCCTAGTTATCATTTGCATATGCGCACATGATCATGCTATGTGAGCTTGCTTAAGCTCATATTCTCATCTTATTCTTTTCTTCTCTTTCTCAAGCAATTCATTCTTATTATATAGGAGGACCAGTCTATAGTTCTTAGTGCTTAACTCTTTACATTATGAATTGCTTCACTCCTTTCATTGATAGATCACTGAGAGTCTTAATTCTGTATCATGAAGCTCAGCAAATGTACTGATATATGATATACTATTGAGAGCTTTAAATCCTGCATCACAAAGTTCAGTGATAGCACTGATATATGAATAGACTGGGTTAATAATCATGCTAACAAATGAACAAGCAACATTGAAAACATCTAGCTGAATGAGATAAAGTGGCAGACTTATACAATAAATGAATCAACATGAAGTAATGAGCAGAGATGCTCTCAGCAGCTTTGAACAACAATGAATGATCTTTCTTCAACAGCAGGAACAGGTCCAGTGTGAGAACAGGGATTTAATAGCAGCTCAGCAAGCTGAAATAGCTAATCTACAACAAGCTTTGAACATCTCAACATCAACTCTCTCTCAATTGAACACACAACCACTCATTGCAGTCAGAAGATCAAAGACCAAGCTACTGAACTACAAGAAGTATGATGATTCTAATCTGAAGCACTACCCTCAGTGAGAGCTAAAGCTTCAATCAAAACTTAAGGTCAATGGAAAAGCTTTAGATAATAATGAGGAATGTGCTTGATATGTGTACTTAAGACTGGAAGGAATGGCAGCAGCTCAAGTTTACCCCTGAGTTGAGAATAATAAGAACAAGATCAACTTCATGATAGAGAGCTTACTAAAGCAGACACACATGCTCTTTAGTGATTCTGCACAACAGAAAAAGACTATGCAAAAGCTCAACAATCTACAACAGAGTAGAAGAGCTTTCTTTGACTTTTTACCTGAATTTAATCAGCTATTGCTGGAAGCTGGTGATCACAAATGAGATGATCATGTTAAAAAGAGGTATTTGAAATCTACTCTAAGCATGGAGTTGAGTGAAGGCATAGTGAGTGTAAGAAAACTGTCTCTCTATGAGAATTACTGCAGGGAGCTTAGATTAGTTGATCATCAACTCTTTGAGCTTAAGACTTTAAGACAGTGATCTAAACATCATGAGAGCAGATCTTCTTTGAATCATACAACATCTAATTCACACTCTCTACTTCATCATGCTGTCCTTGACTGATGAAACTAGTCTCAAGCTTCCACTGATAATCTGATGAATCTCTCTCCTGGTGCTGTGATCCCAAGCACCTACCACATCAAATTGATAAATCAGACAAAGGTTAATCAATGAAGAGAGCAAGGTCTGTACCTGAGATGTGAAGCTGAAGATCATATGATTAAGAGCTGTTTGTTCAAATCTCTCAGACATTCTGTCACCCTCACAATAGCTAAGGTGATCTCTGAGCTGGTAGTGGACAACAATGATATGAATAAGAGTGAAGATTTGAGAAAAGAGTAGCTCCAACCAAAAGACACTGAAAGAAGTGAAATAAGAAGCTTATGAGAAAGCAATGGAGAAGATTTAAATCTAAGATGATATTCAAACTGTTCACTGCCAATGCTCTAGTAGATAATACCTTTTCAACTAGAGCAATGATAGACAGTGGATGTAATGTCTATGGTCTTATTTCTCAATTTTATGTTAACAAGCATAAGCTTCTGTGCATTAAAATTCCTCCTGTTAAAATGACTGGCTTTGAAGACTTTATGGGACTCTCCACAAGCATAGTAACTAGCATTTAAATTGATATAGACAGTTATATAACTGAATGAGCCTTTCTCTACATGGTAAATAAGTTACATGATTATGATATGTATCTAGTTGACCCCTGACTGGCCCAGCAAAAGGTGACTGTGATCCCTCATCAAAAAATTATAAGATTTGAAAAGAGTGGCATAGAGGTAGAGCCTAGTTCAAATGCAAAAGCTGATGTGATTTCCATCTCTGCTGTAAGCTTCTCTAGACTTGTGAGCACTTGAGAGAAGTGAAACATTGAGATCTTCACTGTCAGTTTGATTGATATTCAAAAGACTGTAGAAGTAAAACTAAAGATTGACTCTAGAGAAAAGCTGTCTGAACATTATCATAAGTTTTTGGACATATTTGATAAGGAAGCTGCTGATGCTCTACCTCTACTTCATGGCTCAAATAGAGATCATGGAATTGAACTAATTAAAAAGGCTGATGGTAGTACAGAATAACCCCATTGGGGCTTATTATATAATATATCTCAAGAGGAACTACTGACTTTATAAAAGATTCTTACAGATTATCTGAATAAAAGTTTTATTATAGTGAGCAACTCCCCTGCAGTCACTCCCATACTATTCACAAAGAAGCCTGGAGGTGGGCTAAGATTCTGTGTGAACTATCAAGCTCTTAACAAAATCATCTAAAAGGATTAATATTCTCTATCATTAATCAGTAAGACTTTACAGTGAATTGAACAGACTAAATAATTCACTAAGCTGGATATTATTGCAGCTTTTCACAAGATTCAAATCACAGAAGATGATGAGTGGATGACAGCCTTTAGAACCAAATACAGGCTATTTGAGTGACTGGTTACACTCTTTGATTTGGCCAATGCTCTGAGCACATTTCAAAAATATATCAACTGGGCATTATGTAGATATCTGGATAACTTCTGCTCAGCCTATTTAGATGACATCTTGATATTTTTCTCAAGAAGCTTATGAGAGCATCATGAGTATGTACAAAAGATGCTTATGCATCTATGAGAAGC